GCCCGTCTGTTAGATATATGAAAATATTTCTCGTCGAAATCGAAAACATCATGCAGTGACCCGTCGATTTTGTGGTGTTACCCTTGCGCTATAATTCTAAGTTTCTTTAGTACATGCGAGTGCGACCTACCACGACCTTCCGCTAGTAACTGTATTCTTGAGACTTGCAACTGCGACGTTTTCATCATCAGCTCTTGTTCATCCCGTGCATTACAGATTTCGATTTTGTAAATATGAAGACGGACGTTGTTGCTTAAGGAGGTAGATATGAAGGAGACCATTAACAGTTGGACGGATTTTGAGGTAAAGCAGCTCCCGGACATCGAGAAGATGGTAAACGAGTTCCTCAAGCCGAAATTGAGCGACGCTACCGCGAAAGCTGCGCACAACAAGTGCTTAGCGTTAGCGGTAGAACAGAACTCCAACTTCCCATGATGAGTCAATTAAAGAAGAGAATATGTCGAAACTTACTGGAAAGTTTTCCAGGTTGACGACTCCGCGTAAACGTCCCCATCTGATTGATAAGCTGATCATCTGGAGCTGGATTATGGAACCTCGAGTTGGGGGGATGGCGCGCCTCTACTTGGAACAAAGTTAGGAGGATCTATGATCATAGGTGGGGTGGAATTGATGTCGTAGTTGTGTATGACTTGGGCGCAGATTGCTGCGGTGCAGGGATAGATAGTGATTCGGAGTGTGCAGTGATGCGCGATAAAGACTGCTTGTGCCAGGGACATGAACAGGTAGGGGTAGGGTCACATGAAGGGGGAGGCCATGAAGTGGTCTCATATTTTTGCGTGGATGTAGACGTATTCCGAACTTCCTATGTCTGTTGAGCGTGTCCGCTGGATTGTGTGATGAATCGCATTCAATTTCGGGCAGCTTAGGTTGTCACGCGGTTCGTCAAGAATGAATGAACGAACGAATTCCTGGGATTTTTATCATGACACTCAGATCTTCACGGCAGGTCTTCCTTTTAGATAGTTGCGACTCCAGAAAGCTATGATGTTCGAGTGGGTTGATGGCGTAGTAGAAAAGTTGATAGTTTACTAGAAAAATTCGATCGTTGAAATCGACCGTCGGAACTTGCGTAGTGCGGATTTCGGAGATTTAGATGAGGAGTTAATGTGTTCTTTCGGCTGTCGTTAGGAAGTGTTTGGACATCGATGCTCTGTGGAATGAAGTTGATAGTGATGACTTGTATGTACCTACTGCCTGTACCTACGGGTAGAGTGCCACTCTGTCCTAACGCAAAAAAAAAAAAACTCTACGGGTACTAGGAGCGGCACTATCAGGGGCATACACATGACGTGACTTGTATGCTAACGAGAGTAAAATGACAAGGAAAACGAGAGTAGAGTGAATATTTAGACGTGAAGAAAGTGAATGTTACTAGAGAAAAATGGTAATGACTGAAGAAAGACGAGAGGGACGTCATGTTTGTCATAGATTTCGGTCAGAGACTGAGACGCGATGCAAACATTCTGTCATATCGGACCCGCTTCCATGACCTTGCCATGCTGAGCGATAGCATTGTCGTTCGTTGAGTAGCAATTTTGATAGTATCGACCACTTCGCTTGCATGGTCAGCGACAAATGATCCAATCAATCAATTTTCATATCGTTCATAAAACCAAAAACTCGTAGGAAGAAAAAAAAGAAAAATCATAAGCAAATCATCGCACTATCCTCCTCTCCCCCCGTGCATTTGCTCGTAGCGTGTACGCACCTTCAAGAAGAACAGACACATTTTAGAATTTCTGCATCTTACAGCGAAGAATTGAAGGGTCGCTTTAGGAGGTTTTTAGACAAACACAGATAAGGACGCACTCGTGCGCTTCGTGGAAAAAAGAGCACGTCGAAGTGTATCAATTGCCGTAACAGCATCTCAGTTCATCGCATAGTAGGTTTTTCAGAGCACGAAAAAGGAAAATGTTAAGTGGTGAAAATCCGTCGTGCAGTCCGAGGGGGAATGCCAAGAAGGTAGTGGACAAGCTCGCAGAACGCTTGACATCTGAACAGAATGGGACGACGGAGGAGGAAATGCTCAAGCTCAACAGCTGGATGCGCGACGTGCTTTTTGGGGACGAAAACAAGAGCATTGACCTCGACCGGGAATACCTGGAGGCCATACTCTTATGATGTGGATACGAGTCTTCGTCTTGTGCTCATACTTGCTCTGACGTTGTTCCAGTGAATGAAAGTGATAGTGCATGAAAATAGAACGTGACGAGGATCGCCGAAGCCCTACGTTGATAAGATAGATTGACTTGCTTCCGGTTGTACTTTCTCTAACGTCCTCCCCATCCGACAGGACGTATCTAAATGGGATCAGCAAGGTCACCCTGCGGGTCACGGTCCCGGGAGGAGGTTATGAGCTCACAATATGCCACTTTTTACGATAAGCCCGCGGGCCTCTTTCCGCTAAACGGTAGGAGGCGCCAGAAACAGACTGAGCAACACACTTCAATTGCCGTATCTTCTGGAGTGACGCCATCCAATATTCTTGGGTCTTTCCAGTAATATAATCTTACTTTTTTCCAGTCTATTCCTAGAACCACGACTCACATGTTTATCCCAGTTGTTTTCCGTTTTGCAAAAAATTTCCCCAAAGACGTTACATTTGGCTACTCGCATCCCGCGCATTGTTTCCCACGGCTTTCATTTAAACGCGAAGAACGGGCTTTTGCCGGTGCAGGCGCAAGAGCCGACGCAGATTAAGGCTGACGTGACTTTGATGATCAGCAATATGGCCACGACTTGCCGATGCGAGCTCCCTGCCTTTCTCTACTACAAGGATGCGGATGCAGAAAACACCGGCGCGGCGCAAGGGCATACGAGGCAGCAGATCAGGGTGAGCAAAACTGCAGATGGTGACTCACGAGAAGTTGGTACTTCAGCTTTCCTTCAACATGTATGAGCGATCGTTGACGAGCAAAAGCAATGCAACAAAACAGAATATATCACACAAAAAAGCGAAGCTCTTTTCTCCAAAAGAAATGAAATCAAACATCTCTCTCCAGCAGAGTTCTATCCGTTAACCACAACTCATCCACAGCAAACATTTGCGCGGAGGCTGACGTCAGTCTCGCCGTCCCAACGTTTGCTCAAAGGGACTTGCCATTGTATCTGCGTCGCAATTCTTACCTTAGAGCGGCAGCCGGGAGCCACAGCCAACCGGGAAAAACGATGAAGCTGTTAGAGTGGAAACCGATTGAGCCTAATCCACAATTCGCCCGCGATTTCTACTTATGTCTTTGTTGCTTGTGAAGCTTCTCCCCACTGAATAAGTTGTTATCGGATGATGCCACCACACACACAGCGCGGGCTGGCCGCGCTGAGTGTTAGATGACTCTTAGAGACTCGCGACTCTTCATCAGTTTCGCGACTTTTTTTTCAAAAGTCGAATCTTTGATAGGTTTCGAAAGAAGTTTTTGCACGTTATGACGCGGCCCCGGGAAGCTGCAGAAATTTCCTTTCAGCCTCTAATCTGAAGCGTCGTCGAAGGGGAGCAGGGTTGCGCCATGCCGGTGACGGTGCAGAACGCCCAGATATTCGAATTGACCAAAGTCGAGGGGAAGTCCTCTCTCCGTCTCCAGCGGAACGTGCTGATCGGCACGCGTGAAATTGGACAGAACTACGCTCTGATTGCCGAATACTCGTGCGCGGAGGATAGCAGCAACACTGTACTGAAATTGCGCCAAGCTGCTGCCCCTCATTTCGAGTTCGTCAGGCCATACGGACTCGAAAATGAATATAATCCTCGGCTAGGTATACTCTCTTCTTCTTGATGACACTTCTTCTGACAATTCGCATCAAATAAGTCTGGCGCCTCTTTCTCCACTAGCGTGGGCTATACTAGCAGCGGGCTAGTTTTCGCAATCGTTCAAAACAAAGAGCGTCCTCTCTAGCACTCAGAACCGGAGCTACTGTAAGCAGAAAGAGACCCCCTTTTCGTCCCTCAGCGAAATTCATCAAATCACTACTCAGGCGAAGGCAAGCTCAAGGAAGACTATTGTTGGCAAGAGTATTGGGGTCGAACATGGGGAAGGGACACGGAAATTTCTGCTCTTGAATTGCCGAGGGCTTCTGTGCGGGAAGTGGCGACCTCCGCCAGAAGCAGCACGTACGACCATCCCGCGGCCCTCTGTGGTCTTTTCGCTGCTCCCGTGATCGCCGCGGTGTGCCTTCTCCTCCGTGCCGCTCTGCGCCGGGCTCGCCCGACCGAAGCCGAGAAACCCCTGCGGGTTTTAGTTATGGCAATTCCCTACTTGCTCACATGCAAACGAGAACAAAGAAAGGGAGCAAAATAGTAGTAGATGTGGCCAAGTCTGCCCACTTTGTTCAGAGTCTCAACAAACTAGGTAGCCTGCTAAAAAAAGCTAAGCTGCTCACAGACACATGCTGGAGGGTCACTCGTCCTTTGTTTTTCTAATTTCGACAACAAGATCGAGGCAGAGGCGTTAGAGGAGGACGAAATCTCTTACGGCGCGGTCTAAATGGAACTAGTAGATCGTAGGGCTTAGAACTTGGGAAGTAGGATAGGAGGGGGAAACAGCAGTAGAGGCAGGAGGCCTGCATAGATGAGACCGCTTTGATGTTTCTTGTAGTAGGGGTAGACTGGTCACAGTTAGATGAAGAGCCGCCATAGATGCAGAAAAGAAGACTTGTGAACTTATGGCAATTCTCTACTTTTCTTGTTTGGTGTAATGATGTTGCGCTATTGGATTCGGAAAGGAAGGCGGTAGACCTTGGCCGACTAAACTCATCACCGGGACCATCATCTATCAGCGGCCTACTGCATAGGAGATTCATGAACTTCCATACTTGACATAACGCCGTACAGTTTGTCTTCGAAGAAGACATGGCTTTGTGCTATGATGTAGGAATGAGTTTTGACACAAAATAAAGAACGACTTGGTACCCCACTAATTGAATAGAAGCGAAAGCTTGTTGATTGAATAGGAAAACACTACATGCGCATACATTTCTCGTACTTCGAAACCAGGTTAAAAAAGGATTATCAGACTCTTTCTCATGTGAAGAGAAACTTGGGTAGTCGGCACTTGCTGCCAACGACACTAGACCGCCTGCATTCGAGATTACATAGAACTGCATAAAATAAGTAAGGCCGCCTGCACACTGACGAAAATTGTAATAAGTAAGGCCGCCTGCACACTGACGCAAGAATGCCGAAAAGGCTATAAACATGATCTGACTGCTGCATCACCACACTTAAAGAACAAACGTTGTAGAAGCAGCACCACATAGTAAATAACAAGGCGTGTTTACGCGTGTATAGATTATCTCACTTCTATCCATGGTGTCAACAAGTATCACATGGTCTTCAGAGTAAGGAACGCGTGTGAGCTTTCTCGAAATTCGCGGATTGTCGAAACAAACAATTTAAACGAGTGAGTGTCACGACCTCCGAAAGATTCCTGGTATAAAGCAAAACATACAGAAGTTGACGAATTGCCGTGTCAAGACACGAAATCAAAAGGCAGTGCAGTTCTTTCTATCGTTCTCTCGCTTGTGTATCCTTGTGTTCTTTCAGTGGAAGGAAGATAAGTGTGAATCTTTATTTAAGTGTCCAGATCTTACTTGTACGAGAGAGATGCTGCTGGACGAGAGTAATAACAAAAATTCTTGGTCAAAAACTGCAAAAAGTCACTTGCAAAAGGCACTCATTTTTAGCAGAATGACTCTCAGCGCAAGCGCGATCGCGAAAAGTTGATGTTGTGTCTTCCCAAAATGAAAGATCCGCAGGACAACTTCCTTGATGAAGTACCCATTTTTCCTCCTTGAAGACTACAGATGGTGGTGTATTAGGGTGGTATAATGCAGAAGATCTTCGCAGGAATTTTAGAAGCTCAAGATCAGAAACTCGAAGATCTGAAGGATTCCGATCGCTATTCGTGACACTCGTTTTAACACTTTTTGAAGTTCTGCTCGTTCAAACTTTCGCTCGCATCCGAAGTTTTAGTCGTTGAAACTTTCGCTATAGAAAATCTTGTTTCAAACCTCTCATTGTTTTCTTGCAGCCCGTCTGTTAGATATATGAAAATATTTCTCGTCGAAATCGAAAACATCATGCAGTGACCCGTCGATTTTACTTGTCACCTCCCTTGCAATATAATTATTTAAGGTTTTTTAGTACATGCGACCTACCACGACCTTCCGGCAATTGTATTCTTGATACTTGCAACTGCGACATTTTCATCATCAGCTCTTGTTCATCCCGTGCATTACAGATTTTCATTTTGGTAGATACAGCATCTAAGTCTCTCCTATTGTTAGACCAAAACAACATTAAAGAAAAAGAAGAACGTCTAAGTCTCTCCTAGTATTCTTAGATCTCCAGAACAACATTAAAGGAAAAGAACAACAAAGATGTCAGGCGAGGAAGACAACTGGGAGACCCAGCCCGACGGCGCGGAGGACGATTGGGGCGAAGAGGAGAAGGAGGAAGACGATTGGGTAGAGGAGAAGGAGGACGATACCCAGTGGACCAACATTTAAGGTCAGCTTTTAGCATCCATCTTTCTTGGCATCTTGCTACCCTTGTTTTTCCTTGTTCCACCACTTGTTCGGCATACGCGTCAGCCGCTTGCTCCAAAGTGGATACAGTGAAAAAAGGGGTCAAGATGAGGGGACCAATATGGATTCCGGCTGCATCTAAAACATACCAACTCCAAAAGATCAGCAGTCATCCTGTACTTCTCCTACGGAGAATGAAGGTCTCGTAGTACCCTCTTCAGCAGTAGAAGATCTTGGAGCTGCAAAGGAGACGCTGTTGCCTAAGGAGGTAGATATGAAGAAGACCATCAACAGTTGGACGGATTTTGAGGTAAAGCAATTCCCGGACCTCGAGAAGATGGTAAACGAGTACCTCAAGCCGAAATTGAGCGACGCTACCGCGAAAGCTGCGCACAACAAGTGCTTAGCGTTAGCGGTAGAACAGAACTTTGCGAAGCTAGATCAAGGACAAATGCAAGTGTTCCAGAAGGAACTGGAGAAAATGGTAGTGGCGAAGAAGGCCCAACAGAAGAAGAAGGAGGCGGAAGCGAAAAAGGAGGCGACAGCAGCGGAGGAAGCAGCCCGTAAGGCGGCAGAGGAACAGAAGAAAAAGGAAGCAGAGGCAAAGGGAGAAAGCTATGTAGCCGATGAGGACTTCTTTGCGGGACTCGAATAGTAGTGCGAGCTTCTCGAAAAGAATTATCGTACTTCATCTCTGGTGCTGACAAACAAGAGACTACTTCAATGACGACGAGGAGTCGCTGTTATTGTACCCTATTCCTGTCTCGACCGTCACAAGGATCTTCCTAAGTCTACCTCTATTTCGCTGCGCTGCGTAAGACAACTTCAAACAGCACGGTAAAAACTTCAAAATATCACATCTTCATCTTCTGTAACCAAGACCTCTTCATCATACCAAAAACTTCTTCTTCTTCTACAAAGTACGAACAACTTATGCTACAACACACAGTAGCAAATAATAAGACAACTACGCTTCTTCAACATTTACAAGCGGTGGGAGTAGCCACACTCGAGTCGTCGATGATCGAATGGCCACATGCTATGCCGCAAATTACGGTTCTCCCCTTCGTGTGATGAACAAGTGGCTACGCAATTTTAGCCTCTCTTCTCATGGACGAGGACCACTTTTTTCCCTACAACGCAGCTGTCCCCCATAAGGAGAACGCTATCCCTAACATTCACTTTCACATTGTGCTGAACTAGTTGCTACGCAGTGAACGACGAATGCTATCCCTCACAAGGACAAGTTAGAGTGCAACGCTGATTGTGATTGGAGGATTATTTGCAGAGGTATAAAATATTTTGTTGATTTTTCATCAATGAATCTTCGAATGGTTGTTCTGCAGCTAGAAGTACAAACAGAAGCTTTAAGAGATTGATTTTTTGGATCATGTTCTACCGTCAGCATACCCTTTTCCATCGTCAGCATCCCATTTTCCATCTCGAAAAGCGATGATGCAAACTCAGGTACAACTTCCGCACTAAAAAGAGGCGCATCAATCCGGCCCTTCTCCTTGCCGGTTTTTCTCTGCATGTGTCGTTTTTCTGGGATTAGGACTCTGCGGTGGAAAGGATGAAGAGACCGGCTAGAAGCCTGTAGATTGGTATCATCAAGTTCTCGGGTATTGATTTCTCAGTTACCTTCTTCTTTGGGTAGGTGGGGGATGTGAAAATGTGGGGGATGTGAACGGGATATGAAAGTGTGTCCAACTTCAACACGCATTACCAAAACTTCACCTTCATCGAGAATATAATTATAGCCCGCGACTTTTACAAGTGATGACACGGCTCAGTGTGGTTGTACAACCTGACTTGTGATTTCTAGCAACCCGAAACGACACATCAAAAGAAAGGGCGTGACTTTGGTCTATGCCGTTCGGGCACGCCGTTGCACTACGGGCGTGTGGAAGCAGTGGTGTTCGTACCGCAGGAAAGGATTACACAACAATAATCGGAGTGTGCCCCACGACACAGAAAAATTCGGTATTCGCAAGAATCTTCCTAAGGTTAAAGCCAAAAATCAAACCATGGAGTGAGTGTTCAAAAATACTCTGCTTCTAACTTAGTGTGGCACAAGATCTTAACATCTGTACTCGTCGAACTTGAATCGGTATAACACATCACTGTGGTGGTCTCTTCATGTGCTCCAGTGCTCCAGGAATAGAAGCTGTCTGTTCTCCGCAGTCTGTCGCCTGAAAAGATCAAGCTTCAGTCGAGAAACTTCATCGGTTCGCTGTGATTACACTTCGATCCTAAAAAACTTCCAAAATCCCTTTTCAATCAAAATCCCTTTTCAATGTGTCCCTCAGACCAACTTACACACGACATTTTGAATGAACTACTACAACTAGTACAACTACCTGAAAATGATCAATTACAATGTAGTGATGGTCATTTGCACATAGCTCTTTTTGTACGTGTCCAATTAGAACAATGTAGTACATAGCTCATTTGTACATAGCTCTTTTTGTACGTGTCCAAAGCATCTGATTTCTCAACATAGCAGTGAACAAGGCGTTCTGAGTGGTCCACAACGGTGCCTGCCTAACTAGTTACTGAAAACAACAGATGATTTAGATTTGAATCTATGACTGGGAGATGGGAACGTGGTCTCACCAGTTGTTCTTTGTTACTTGTTTTTAGACTCAAAACAACAAGAAAATGTTGATGTTTATGGGCCACGAGACGTTGATGATGCTCATGGAGGAAATGGCTCATGAGTCAAAACTGGGAGAGGCTGACGTGGTTGCTAGCGATGCCGGTATGAGTTCTTACGGCTTCTTAATCCATTAGCTCTGCAGGTTGTTCTATTAGTTCTTAACCTTGAGAATGCGTCCTTTTCCTGAGGACAATAAAAAGCGCGTCAAATACCATAAGATAGAACAATGATTTTTACTATGTGAAAGAATCGTTAGTTCGCGGTGACGGGGTGTGTAAAAATATATGAGTACGACCTAGACGTATTCAAAGCACATCAACATCAAGCTAAGTAGCTCATTTCTCTAGATTACAGCTGATTACAATCGCCATCTTCTGATTTCTCTAGATCGCTCTAATGTTCGGCTCGCCTTGCGACGATGGTTTTCTGTGTCCTGGTACTGCTAGGGGGATCCGTGTTTTTCCTCGTCGCGCACTGCAAGTGCAGGAGAGACATGGTAGAAGCTTTTTCATGCCTAGAAGACGAAGATGAAGAAGATGGATTTTACAGGAAAAAAAGGTACTTTACGATGCTTGTAAGAAGATGCCACTATCTAAAATCTCTTCTTTAAGCCAGATGTACATATCACTTCCTTCTTTCCCTAGTTAGTCAAACTAAACTTTCTAGTTCTCGCTAGCATAACTAAACACTCTATAATAGTTCTCGCTAGTATAACTAAGCTGTCAAATAGTATATTACTATATTTGCTTCCGAGGTGAATGGCCAAAAGCGACGAAGGCTGCGACGCCTATGATGTGCCACTACTCATACATCTGGGGAACAACTTTTAATTACTATATTTACTTCCATTCTATCACTTCTTCCATCCCCCCAACTTTTATGTACTATATTTACTTCCATTCTATCACTTCTCCCATCCCACCCCAACCTTTTAATTACTATAAATTTACTTCCATTCTATCACTTCTCCCATCCCACCCCAACCTTTTATGTACTATATTTACTTCCATTCTATCACTTCTCCCATCCCACCCCAACCTTTTAATTACTATATTTACTTCCATTCTATCACGTCCCCCATCCCACAGGAGATATGATGAAGATAGTGACGACTTAGAGACTCCGACCGACGATCGGAAGCGAAGAGATGGTCCGTCGTCACCTCTGGGACCCGGTGAAATCGCCATAACTGGTCGAGGGCTCCTATCACGCAAGGTGGATGATCCCGAAACGCCATCACGCAATGATCCCGAAACGCCAGAGAAAATTATGAAGCTTTGGGCTATCCAGATTATTTGTTATTGAGAGTAGTTGGTGCAATGAACAACCATTGGATCTTATAGACAGGAGTTGGGAAACTCAAACGCGGGAAATAGTTAGTTTCTTTCTTTGGAGTGAAATAGTTTCTTGAATTCTAAGGCCAATGCGATTATTGAGTTTGTGACTCATACAAGAGGCGCCTCTGGTGATAGGCGCCTCTGGTGATGGCGTGTCCAGTCTGTTATGACCTTGTTGATGTCGACGCATGAATAAGTGCTATCCTCTATTCTATCATGGTATAATGATCATCTTCTAATAATACGAGGAAGCCAGTGCCGGTGGAAAAAAGCACCGTTCTAGTACAGCAGACTCCTGTAAAGGAGGATGACACGAAGGAGGAAAAGAAGGACAAGGAGGAAAAGGAAGATGACACGAAGGAGAAGAAGAAGGACAAGGAGGAAAAGGAGGAGGACACGAAGGAGAAGAAGAAGAAAGAAAAGAAGGCGTTGTTTGATGCGATGCAGACCTTGTCTAGTGAGCTAATGGTGTTGAAGGCCTTATCTGCTGAGGAGAAAATGGAGAGCGCCTCTTTGAAGCAGGAGGAGAGCGTGCCTCTATCTCGTGAGGAGAGCAACAAGACCTCAAGCTCAACATCCACACCGGAACCGAAGCAGGAGACCTCAACACCAAAATCCGACCAGCCACGGTCTGCTCTACTGCGTATGGCTAGCGTAAAGAAATGTCTTTGACGCCGTACTATCGATAATAGCCCTGCTCGAGGAATCTTCTTTTTACACGACTTGTGAAAAAGAATGATTCTTCTTGGATCCTCTCGATCCTCTTTTTACACGACTTGTGAGAAAGAATTTTATTCTGGGCAGGAGTGTAAAGTACTTCCAAATGATCATTCAGGCTCTTCTAATATGCGGGAGTCGTACCAGATCAAGTCTGAACTGAATAGCCGCGAAGACACCAACTTGGACGGGTTGCCCAGCGCACGCGATAGCACCTTCATGTTCAGCGACAAACTCAATATGGCTTTATAAGTGCCTACAATTCATCTCGTTTCTTATAAGACGAAATAGCCGAAGATGTTGCGCTTAGTCAGTCGTAGACAAAAACCGCTTGGTGTTGATTGATAGATTTTCTTCTCTTCTAGTTTGGAGACTCTCACTGGAAATATGATAGTAAGTAGTTGGTAAGCTCTAAGAACATCAGCCAAGATAAACTCGACGACCGTCGCTATTCTCGACCCCCCGGCAGCAGCAAAGATGATAAACTCGAGAGTCGTCGAGATGACAAACGCGACGATACACGCGACGATCGCGACTATCGGAGAGACGATCGTGACTATCGAAGGGATGACCGCGATGATGACCGCGATAGGCGTGATTATCGGCCGCGAGATGACCGCGATGACCGAGACTACCGAAGGGGCGATCGAGATGACCGCGATTACCGTGATGACCGCGACCGCCGACGTACTGATGATCACGATTATCGACGAGGTGATCGTGACTACCGCGATGACCGTGATTCTCGACGAGATGATCGTGACTACCGCGATGACCGTGATTATCGACGAGATGATCGTGACTACCGCGATGACCGTGATTATCGACGAGATGATCGTGACTACCGCGATGACCGTGATTCTCGACGAGATGATCGTGACTACCGCGATGACCGTGATTATCGACGAGATGACCGGGACTACCGCGATTACGGCCGAAGTGATGACTACGAGTACCGCCCAAGGGATGATTACGACTACATTCGAAGCGATGATTACGATTATCGACGAGACGACCGAGATGAGCGCGACTATCGGGACGACCGCGACTATCGGGACGACCGCGACTACCGACGAGATGAGCGCGACTATCGGGACGACCGCGACTATCGGGACGACCGCGATTATCGACGAGGCGGTAGTGGTAGTCGAGAGCGGCGTGATTATCGTTAGTTCATTTTTTCTCTTCTTAATGTATAAGTACCCCTCTCAAACCTTTTTTTCGAATTTTAGAAAAACAAGGAACAGACATACGAAGTATATCAATAGGTCTAGTGCAAGAACAAAAACAACAATTGAGAGTTCAACACATAGGAGGTTCATAGTATGAGAAAAACAATAGTATTCACGACACACAATCACATGCATATCTGTACAGTCCTGAGACAAGTTGGATGTGATGGATCAGGTGCTTCTTTGTCATACATATTCATTGTTGTAAGTAAGAAGTACTTATTCTTTTCTCGTCTGGAAAAATTGATACAACTACTTAATTCATTATGTTTAAAGATTATTTGTTCCTGCCTTACTATCAAAAAAATGCTATCGAACCGTATCTCCCTGCTATCTCCCTGTAAAAATTTATATTTCTTAACATCACTGACACTGTACCTAGAAATGGATGTAGCTAGCTTTGTACTATCGTGCAAATTGCGGTGTCAAAAAATAGAGTACGATAATAATTTCAAGACCCGATATCATGAGAACCCTTCTTTCACGAGGATAGTACCACTAGTTGCTTATAAGAATATGATAATCATCAAGATGCTGTTGCAAGCATTGCTGCAGGACCTCCTGTGGTCAGGTCGGATAAAGACAAAGTAGATCGTGTCACGCTCAATAGTACATACAAGAATCCAAGAAGGTCTATCGGTTTCAAAATAGCATGAACATCTGTCCTGTAAGATTCTCTCCATTGGGTCGGTTTCGAGCACATCCTGTGTCGGTTGTCGATGGCGTGCAGAAGACATCATCTGAACAACCACAGCATGGTGGATTCAATTACCGCATTGTGGATTCTGATACATCGGTGACTGATGTAAATAGTCTAGCCCAAAAACAGTCACCTGCGCGGCAGGTACCATTCTAACATGACCTTTTCTCACGCGATTCATTTCCTTTGTCACTACTAATTATCTGTTGTTGTATACTGGTGCGTAACCAGTATTAAGTATATACTTATAAGTACAGGTGGGTGACTCAACGATTGACATTTGGTTCTCTCTCTGTTGATTGTCCTACTGTTATACAAGACAATAGTGCTCTAATAATCATTTTTCTACCTCTACTAGGATTGATCTTCCTGATGGCAGGTGACTCAGTCTTGCAATGACTAGATACTGCCATCGTCAGCTGCATACGCATTATGGTCGGAGGTCCTGTGAACGATAAGACACGATGATGATGTCGGATGCATCGACCGCGGTCGACGTTCCTTCCAAGTTGATGGTTGCTTGGGCAATCCGGGAGGGACATGGTACGAAGGAGTCGTGCGGATCACGACTGTATTTCGATGCTAACCATGGCGTCCTTCGCGCGACTTGGAAGACGCTCTACAACGCGCAGCGATTCGGCGATATCAACAAGCGAGCTTTTTCCGTGTTTGACGATTTCGCACGGAGAAAGCTGGAAGAAGTCTACGAGAGGAAGAAGAAGAATGCAGGAGCAGAAAGCGGTGCACAGGTGGCAGATCTAGATTTAAGGCTGCCGCTGAAGCATCCTCAGCACCATCCCTGGCTTCTTTTTCAAGGGGAAAAAGGGCTCAGGGATGGACTCAAGGATGCGACGCGGTAGCTCTAATAGATGTTGCGGACGAGAGCACGTTTGCTGATCGAACAGGAGCTCAATTGGCTCTAGATTTTTGCTTTGGCTTGTGCCACTTACGACCTCAGCATCCACGAATAACGCAGACGCAGTGTCAGCTGTTCATTACTTTAGTAGTGGACTTACTGCGCACTTTCTGCCAGCGAGTGAGACGAGTATCAGAGACTAGAGGCAAGACAGCTGTGGACGAGGAGCCAGGAGACTTTGAAGAGGTGCCTAGTACTGGAGGTGGTTTCTTCGGAGGTTTTTTTTCTTCTCCTACGCGGGTCCAAAAAAGTGGCGACGAGGATCCGAAACAACAACAACTACTGCGGCTAGGAGATGATATTAAAGTAGGCAACCAAGATGAACTCTCGAAAGCAGCATCAACCAAAACCAAATCTTCTGGAAGTGCTGCAAGGAAGAAGGATGGAACATCTGCGGCGTCGGACATCGCGCACTTTGGTGTGGGTGCACTTCTAGTGCTGTTTGAGACGAGCCAATTCAAGACGCAGCTTGGCAAACCTCTTTTTTTGGAAATCGCGAATCTAGTTGGGAATGGGCATGGGAATCCCGGTATCTGTCTGCAGGCGCTGGCGACGGTGATGTCTCCTGGCTACGTGGGCGGCTCACGAGGTAGCGCAGCTTTGCTGGACGTTGGTGACGAGGAAGATGAGAGCGACGGGTGGGAGGTGACAACTACTACAGAGGTGGAGAGAAGAAAAGGCGACACTGAAGGGAACTCCGAAACTGCTGGTGCAACACCCCCTCGTAGGGTCGCCGGTTCAGCAAGGCGCGGCGTCACGGATTCATCTCACAAAGGACTTGTGCATGCCTCCACGTATCCACAAGGGTCGCTGTACTTAGTCATCGACTTCGCTTTGCAAACCTTGCAGGAACAACGAGAAGCCGATTATACGGATACTTCTCATAGTACTTCTTCCTCTGGAGTAGTTGACCTTGTTGCGCAACGAAAAGGCAACACTTCTTCTCAAGTCGAGGAGAATTATATCGAGGTGCCGTATGTGAGCCTGCTCGAGAGTTGCGTCACGATTTTCTTCGTTGGTCGAGGTTACGACTACCGACTAGCAGAGCAGCTCGACTTCGCTCTTCACGGTTTGGAACTCTGCGTCTCGCAGACCGGCCTGTTGCTGAAGTGTCTGATTTGCGTGCAAGCCATCTTTCTGCACTGTCATCGCTCACGCCGCACTGTCCGAGTCATCGTGCACGACTTCGACTTTGCCATCGGAAGAGACGACGTTGCGGTGCAGCTTGGGGACGCGAGGGAACACGCAGAACCGTCACGAGTTGGCGGTCTCAAAGGCAAGCTTTCTAACGTGCACAACTATGGGAAGCCCCGTTCCTACGTTGGAAACACGCGTGCGCCACGGATTGTGGATAGCACTTCTAGTAAACGAGTCGATAAAACAGACAGCATAGACAACATAGACTCGTCAACTTGTTCTACCACGATCAACGTGAGTCGCGATGTGGTTAAGATGCTGTTGTCAGTGATGGATCTCTACCCGAATTGGCGCAAGATTCAGGGTGCTGCGATGTTTGCTTTAGTGCAAGTCTTGCGATGCTGCAGTGCGTATCGCGCACAAGTGATTGCGCAGGCACTGCCGTCCATCCTATTGGCCCATCGCACGCATATCGGAAGCTATGCAGTCCAGTTTCACTTCCTGTCCGTTCTAGAGGGTCTTCTGCAGGAACATCGTCTGTCGACAAACGCTCTAGATGCATGCATGCGCATCGTTTTCGCGCAGACAAGCACGTTTGATTCCTCTGCTAGTGCTGGTGCTCCAGAAAGGAGAGCTATGGATGAGGATGAGCTGGAAGAACTGGGTGAAGAAGTAGATGCAAAACTATATCATCAAAAAGGTCCTAGGAATGCAAATTCCACGTTGTTGCCGCGACGTGCGGAGAAGCTACTTGTGAAAAGTTTGCGAGTCTTACTGCAGCTGTTGGATTCTGGCGTAACCGTCACGGAGAGCTTCCTGGTCGAGAGCGGACGTCGTTTCGCACAGTTCGTACAGTCAGGAGAGTTTTTGGCAACTTACATGTTCGAGCGGTTCGTCCGATCGGTACTCGCGCGTCAGCCCAAGTGGCAAGCAGCCCAGATGCGTGAGAGGCTCGTGTCGGGGACTCACGGGCCAGTAGCCGCAACGAGTGGCGTGCTCGGCTCTAGCGGTATTGCAATGGGGGACTTGGCACTCTTGCTGGAGATCATGGAGCAAGCAGAGTCAGAAACCGTGGCCGCTGAAAAACGAGAAAGAGCAGACCTCCTGCAAGGCAATACTGATGGAGGAGGTCCTAGTAGAGTAGACGCGGCAAAGTCAGGTCTGGATCCATCTTCTGCTGCTAAGGAGCTACGAGAAGATGATAAAGAACAAGAGCTGTCCACTTCTCGAGGCGACAAAAAGAAGAAACAACGACGTGAGGCACCCGTTCGTTTGCCTGGGGATAGTGAAGAAGATAGAGCAAAATCCAAGACTCGTCGCAAAGATGATAGAAAGGACGCTCGTCGTAAAGATGAAGATAACAAGGGCGACGACAATTGGTACTTTGACGGTACTAGCAGGGTTCGCGATGATGAGTCATCTGGTATGGAGGAAAAAAGCGGACTGGAGGGCTACTTTGCTAGGAGACGTCGTGGAGCTGATAAGCATAGAGGTTCCTCCTCAGAAAGGGATCGTTCATCTTCTAGAAATAGACGAGATCAAGCAGGTTCTCCAGCGAAGTCTTCTACAAGCAGACGTGAAGAACAAGGGGATGATGAGAGCAGGAGACGGAAATTACCTCCGGGTATGCAGGAACTTCCGGTAATGGGTGGAAATCTGGCGGAGGGGAAAACGGGACCACTCGTTCCCTACTTTGACCCCTATTGGGGTTGGGTTCTGGGACCTGCTTTTGCGTCCCCATACGAATACCAACAAGCGGAGCTTCCCTATGGACCTCCTTATTCTTACGGTGATGCAGCGAAACGAGCTGCGCGAGGGAGGTCGCCGTCAGCAGGGACACATACGAAGACGAGCGAAAAGAAGAAAAGGAAGAAGGAGCGTAGAAGTGAGGCTGTACTAGGCAGTGTTGATTCTGGTGTGGAGAGCGTCGACGAAGGGAAGTCACCAACAGCAGCGCGCGAAAAAAAGCGAGACAAAGAGGACGACCGCGACCGAGGCGAGAAAAGACACAAGAAGGAGCGGCGGGACATCAAGCATGAAGACGAACAAAAAGCAGGTAAGAAGGATCGCGATCCACCAAAGTCCGATGCAAGAGGTTCACGAGGAATGCCCAAAGACAGGGCTACGGAGGTTTACGAGGATCTTCTCCTTTCTGACGAAGAGGGGGCCTCTCGGTCCCCTTCTGTTTATTCCCGACAGACGCGACGCACCAGAAACTCCTCGGCTGAGGGGCTCCCTGGCGTGGTCGACAGGAAGGGACAGACGCGACGCACCAGAAACTCCTCGGCCGAGGGGCTCCCTGGCGTGGTCGACAGGAAGGGACAGAAGCTGACGTCGCAGCAAATAGCCTCCTTCGCAAAAGGAGACGAGGAGGAGGAAGAGCCGCAGGAAAAGGAAGACCGCAAAGGGGCACAGAAGTCACGTGCGCCGGTGAAGAGTAAGGCAGAAAGCCCAAAGTCCATGGCGCCATTGAAGAGCAGAGCGGGGCCGCAGAAGTCCATGGCGCCGCAGAAGTCCATGGCGCCGTTGAAGAGTGGAGCGGGGCCGCAGAAGTCCATGGCGCCGCAAAAATCCATGGCGCCTCTGAAGAGTAGGGCGGGTGCACAAAAATCGATGGCGCCACTCAAAAGCAAAGCGCGGGCTGAGGGGTCCGTGGGGCCGATGGAAATCAGTAGTGGCGTAGATGAGCCGGCAGGGCCGATGAAGAGCATGGCGCCGATGAAGAGCATGGCGCCGATGA